TAATATCGTATCAACGTATCCAAAGCAAAATATGTCACTAAAACAGTGCGATGATCACTAAAAAATTAGTTCTATTAGCTTGTATTGCGCAGTAAATAAAAATTATTAATTTTCTTAAATGTCTTCGTTTTTTCTCTCGAAAACTTTTTCCTTTTTGTCCTTTTTGTGCTATGTTTTAGTGGTCATATTTAATGCAGCTTCAGAGCTTAATATTATCTACTATTAACTACCCCTTTGTATTCATTTTGTTTCCGTTTTTAATTTGTTTTTCTAATTTGTAAGTTTTTGACGTCACTCTTTGAGCCTATTTTTAAGGATTTGAATAGTTAAATCATAATTCTTTTTTCTTTCTTTCTTTTTTTAATAAACGCTAATCTTCAAAGATTTTTAAAATTGTTTAGTCAAATATCAACTTTATTAATTATAAACTTTAAATTTCCTCAAACGCATCCATATTTGGGACAATCCAAGGTTACTAACAAATCAAACTTCATCTGTACTGCAGTAAGAGCGTGCCATAAGAGATCCCTCTATTTACGCTATGCTCTTCTGTTTTCATATCTTGTAATCTGGCAATATTATCACGAAATTATTTTAAATCACTCTTGAAATATTTCGGTACGGGTAAATTTAATTTTAGTTCGCTACTCACTTTATTGATTTCATTTTGTGTTTTGTTCAGACTTTTCTTTACATTTTATTTTCTGTTTTTTGCTTGATATGTTTTATTTCGTAAATAATTTCTCCTTAATGTGTTCTATTTTCGTTTAAATTTTTTTATAGCTCCTTACACTGTTGTATTGATATAATTTGCTTTTGCTATAATGATACAATATCAGAAATCACTCCTTTTAGCTGGTATAATCGTGTGAGCTGATGAAGATATTATATGTTTTTCTTATTTTGTTTCCCGGCTTTTTAATATTTGATAAATTTTTTTTTGATATTTTTTTGGAAGTAGTAGTAGTAGTAGTTCATTTACGTCGCACTAGAGCTGCACAATGAGCTAATGGCGTCGGTTTCGGAGACATCCCTGAGGTTGATCCGAAGACATGTCATCTCAATTTTGATCTTCAGCAGAGGGGATGGCACCCCCGCTTCGGTAGCCTGACGTCCCGCACGCGAAGTCGAGCACTTTACGGTAGAACAGTTTTACGAGGACCGATACCGCACACCCTCGATACCTACGCAGACTGACCCAAGTGGTCACCCACCTCACGCTGACTGCAGCCAGTGACGCTTGACTTTGGTGACCTGCTGGAAACCGTGTCTTAACGATCAGTCCACAGCGGGACTATTTTTTTTTAATCATCTTAAAATTGTATTATTTTTCTTCATCTCTTTCATTAATCCTTCATATTTTCCATGTTTTCTCTATATTTTTAACCTTTATATATATATATNCTATATATATATATATATATATATGCATATACTTAGAAATCATATTTCAAATATTCACGTCTTTAAAAGTTTTAGAAGAATTCAAATTTGTCATATTAACATATTTCTTCCCATTTTATGACCAATATATCTTCTTTCCCCCAGGATAACTTTCAAGAAGTTGTAAGCTAAGTGTTTGGTAAATGTTAAGTCTCAGTGTTAGAATGGATGGCTCCTTTGGAGGAATTCTTCAATGTAAGGTTGAGAACAGGGAGGGAAAAATTTTCTATAATGTTTTATTTTCTTTCGATTTTTTTTTCTTTATCGTTTATTTTTCTTCTTTTTGATTCGATGAGGCAGTGCACATGCTATTGTTGACCTAGATGTTACACTAGGGATGATTCCGCCCCAGGACACGTGATACGTTTTTCTTTCAGATTATTCGGTCAAAATATCTATTTCGAAAATAAATTTTGTGTGGTCGGATAGACTTTGTTTTCTCAATCCACTCTTGACTGAAAGCTTGAAAAATATTTTGATAAAGAGGAGCTGTAACTGCACACTATGAATCATGCTCTGATATTTCATTTTTTTTGTATATTATTATGGAAATATGGTATAAATCAAAATTGAGGGCCTCAAAGATGAGAGTATTAAACTTCGTTTATAAATTTTAAGTGATTTGAAAGTTTCATTCGACGATAGACTAAAAGATAAAAATCTGAAAATTTAAAGATGGAATGTTATTTTACTGAAAATAAGAATGTATTGCTTGCGAATGATAGGAAAGATTTTTCTTTAGATTTATTTTCCTTTTTTTAGCATTTTAATCCATACTTTTGCTGGTAGTAAAAATAAAAGTAATTAACCTTATTCCCTCAGCCCAATTACATTATAATATTTTTATTTTCAAATACAGTTTATTTTAAAAATATTTTTTTTTAAATTCCTTTAATAATAACTTCCTTATAAAGCATTTGTTTAAATAAATACTATAAATGAGACAGTTATTTAAAGCATTTAGTCAAATAGTTGCAATTACAGAATTTAAAAAAATAATTTCTAGTATTAGTTCTCCAGAATTATTCAAAGCGACATTCTAGTTTCACAAACTAGCCGAAAAAATTTCAGAAATTGATATATAATCAAATATTTAGTTAATTTATGAAGAGAATCCAAAAAAAAATTAATTAAAAATCAAACAAAAATTTCATTTATAGTATATCAGATCATGATATCATTAAAACAGTTTCTAATTATCATATTTCATGCTGTTTTTATAGCGAGGGAATTTTTTTCTTCAAAAAACAGTAGATTTTTCCGCTACGATATACTGTGTTCAAATCACACTTAAAATTGCGTTCCAATATTTGAACTTAGTAAGGTGTCATCAAAGAATACTCAAAGCATAGTTAATGTAATTTAAAAATAAAGAATTATGTTATTTTGATGTTTCATTATAAAAGTTTTTCAATAATTAAAGTTGTTAAAAATTTTTCTCAAAAGAATTTTATGGGAAAAGATATATGTTCTAGCTTTAGACATTTTATTCTTAGACTGTCTGGAATAAATTCATCGAAGTTGAAAACGTTTTAAATGGCTTTTGCAATGTTTTATCCTTATAAATTGTAACTATTCCGCCAATTTTCTTCATTGCCAGCATATTTTTAAATCGAAAGCCAAGAATGGGAGGAAATCCCTTAAAGGAATACCTTGTCAAAATTTTGTAGCGATTTGTAACCAAATTAGAAAATTCATTGGAGTAAACTATTCAAACATCGACAATTGGCTAGCTTCCGGTTTTAAACAAGAGGGATGAAGAGTCAGCAAACAAGGTTAATAGAAAAAAAAGAAAACGAATAGATCACTCTTATAACTTTTGGATTAATGGTTGGATTTTCATACTGTGAAGTGCTTTTGCCATATTTCAAAGACATCGCTAAAAATATGTAACCAAGTTAAGGATAATGCGAAATGTTCTGATTTCAACTAAACAAGCAAATCAAATATAGTTTACAAATCAGACAAGATTTAATGTGGTACTTGACTTCGGTGTTCTATTGGTAAACGTATTTCTGCGATCAGTTCACTGCGGGATGTTTAGAAGGTAAAGTTAAGTACAAATTGCAATAGGATATACTAAAATTAAAATTATTAATATTAAAAAGAGATTTTATACAATGTCTCGAACCGCCTTGTTTATCTAGAATATTGGAGCTGGAAAATAACCTCTCACCTCAAAGAGCGACCTTACTCACTAACTGAGAAACTGTTAACTAATGAACTAAGTAACTGATAGTAACTCATTAAATAGGAAACTAGACTCAACTTCCCAAGATTGTAATTAATCTGCACTATATATCAGCAAGAGATGCGTATGCTTGGAATATCCTCCATTCATATATAAGGTCTTCACGAGCTGAAGAAATGTTAACTAATGAACTATGTAACTGATAGTAATTCATGAAATAGGAAGCTAGACTCAGTTTCCCAGGATTGTAATCAGTCTGCATTATATATCATGAGGAATTGCGTTTGCTTGGAATATCCTCCATGGATATGCAAGATTCTCACGAGGATGAAGAAATGTTAATTAATGAGCTAGGTAACTGATATAGCAATTCACGAAATAGGAAACTAGACTCAGTTTCCCAGGATTGTATTCAGTCTGCATTATATATCACAAGGAGTTTCGTACGGTTGGAATATCTTTAACGGTTATGTAAGATCCTCAAGAACAGAAGAACTGTTAACTAATGAACTAGGTAAGTAACTCATGAAATAGGAAACTGGACTCAGTTTCCCAGGAATTTAGTCAGTCTACATTTTATATCATACGGAGTTGCATATGCTTGGGATATTCTCTACTGATACATAAGGAGAGCACGAAGTGTGCAATTTGATCTTCTGGCCGTTTTTTGTTTTGTAATTTTTTCTCGCTGCATTAACTTCATTGAATTAAATGTATTCATATTGTTAAAGGATATTAAATTTCAGTTTAGTTATGCTTACAATTATAAAAGTTAAACCAATTTGTTTAAATCTACCACAGACTTCTTCTCTAGATTCCTTTGAATTAGAGTTTTTTAGTTTGAGCCTGTTTGAAGCCTGCTATATATGTACTCTGTATCGAAATCATTTAAAAATGGTCTGGAGTCACATACAAACGTTGGAAGTAGAAAAACTAATTCATGCAGAAAGTTAAAAAAAATCCGTAATCTGTTACATTTATAAAAGAAATTTCATAATTAAAAATCACCACTGTTTAAAATAATGTCTTAAACCTTCTACTTACTATTCATTTTAAAATGATTTTTAATAACATTTGCAAAACAAACTTACAATTACTTTTGTTTAAAGGGGTATTATAGTTTATTTTGTAAACTGATTGTCAAAATCCATTTTTCTATAAATCGTAACGATAGTTTCAATGCAGCAAATGTTCTTGAATCTTCTAAAGTACCACAATAAATCGGAAATAATAAAGAAAAGGAACATAGTTTTAAAAAAAAATCAACGCATTACTGAGTTTCCCAGACTTTGACAAGAGATTATGATGAAAAAGTATAAAATATATATATAGCATTATTCGGAGCATTAACGGCCTTCATACTTACAAGAAATATCGATATGTCCAAAAAAACTGAAAAAAAGTAGATCTTTCATCGCAAACAAGAAGAAACTATGTCAGAAAACAAAACCTTAATGGTGCAGTGAGTCCAAATAGAACCACAGACCAAATAAAGATGAAAAAACGACCAATTAGTGGCAGGAGAAATGTTCTTACTCTTTTGTCTGAACCAATATAGAAGAACTTATAGGAACAGATATTAGAATGACCTCGAAATATTTTTCCATTTATTGGGTAAAACTAGAGTAATCTAAAATGATATTGGAAAACTGTGTAATAAGTAAATACATGGAAGAGTGTTTATTTTGATGTCTTAAAAATGTAATTACGTTTCTCAGTACTAAACATTTACTTTTATCTTTGAATGAACATTTTGGTTACTTATGGCTTAAAAATATGATCTGAATAGCCGTAAAATAATGTATCAGTCAATTGTAAAGTAGACGAATTTATAAAATCAATTTCTTACGTTCCAACTGCAAAACTGCAAATTTTGTGTACAGTTGAGATTTATTTTTATTACTTCACGTCTTTTCGCTAATAGTGCTATATATTTAACTGGGCTAAAATTCTGTAAATAAAGGGTCATCGTTATATCGGGGACATGTTCCCATGAAAACTAAAATTTAAATGCATACGAATTTAATTATTATTTCGGAAAAATAATTAAGTACAATTTGAATATATTTTATTTAGTGATGAGGAATAATTAACATTATTTTAATGTAAAAATTTTGACAATGTTGTTTGTTTACCCATTTTTTGTCTTAAAGTAAACAGTGAATTTTCTAACTATTCCGAAACATCAATTTTTCTCTCTTGTTCGTCATGTCTTTGGAAGAAAGTTTTCAAAGATTTTGGGAAGAAAATTTCAAACTTGTTGGAAAATTTTAAGTCTTAGAAGAACATTTTCAGGGATAATTCTTCATTAAATGATGTTAGTGTATGTGAAGATTCACAGTCCTCATCATTACTGGATTCCATAATTTCAACAATTGATATTGCGTCTGAGTCACAAGTTTTCGGCATTTTATTCAGAAATACTATCATTATTCAACTGCTTCGGGACTGATGTAAAGTAGCCTTTTTCTGAAACAACGATAATGTCTTTTGAAACTTTTTTTTTCCAAGCTGAGAAATTTATGGTCTCTTACAAGGTTGTTTCCATTTGTTTATTTATTTCTTAATTTTTATGCCTGAAGTTGTGCAGGACACCAACTTAGCCAAAGCATTTCCACAAACTGTTTAATGCACACGGTTAGAATTTTCATTATAAAATTACGGTGAAATAACAGGCATTAGTCTGTCCACCCAATTAACTGTAAAGTTTACGGTAAATAATTTTTTTTTTACCTTTACGGTTTTGAAATCGTTTTCAATTAGTCTGGTAAAAAAAACCGCAAATACAATACTAAATGGTTCTATTAGTATATATACATATATATATATATACAGTGGAACCTGTCTAAATTGACCACCCTCGGGACCAAGTCAAATGGTCACTATATAGAGGTGGTCACTTTATGAAGAGTCTTTAAAAAGGACTCTTTAAATAAAACTTGCAGAAAATGGTCACCTTACTCAGATTCTCACTTTACCCAGGTGGTCACTTTTACAGGTTCCACTGTATATNTTAATGTAAATTATTGTAATATGTAATGTAATTATATTATATATATATATATATATATATATATATATAAAATTAAGTTGATATTATTAATATCATGATTAAATTCATAAAATATTATTAATATCATAAAATAAAATTAAGTTGAAAACACGAAATTTATTCTGAATGATTTTGAATAAAAGTAAGATGAAAAATAAAAATAAGAGTAACTAATTAAAAAATAAATAAAAAATAAATAAACGAACAAATTAACAATGAAATGATGTAATTTTTTACAAAGATGTATTACTGGAGAGTTTTATATTATTTTTCCCAGCACAAGATGAACATTATTTTTGTCATTAAAATAATGTTTTGATACATTAAGCTACGAGCAAACAATAATTAAATTTAATATCCTACTTACAACTAATACATTAAAAAACTGCTGCAAACATTTTATTTGTTTAACGAAAATAGATGAAAACAATTCATTAATAGCACATCCAAGTACATTATTTAAAAGTAAACAGGTTTTATTTGTTCATGAAATTACAGTACTATCATATCTTTTAAATTATCGTACAATGCACAAGATGTTTTCAACTACCCTTTTCAAAAGAAGACAACTGGGTTTGAATGCATTTTAAATCGCATCCGTTCTATAGTGAAGAAAATCAAGTGATAAGAAAATAATGGCTTATGTGTTGGTTTCATAAAATAAAAACCTTTATTATTGTATACATTTTTTATCAGAATGAATTTTTTTATGCATAGATAAAAAAGCAAGTAAAAAAGTTTTCTTCTAGTCTTCCCTTCTTTTTATGTTGCATTATTTTCTCATTATGTAAATTGATGAGTAAATACCCGGTATTATGTTAGTTTACGTATATTTATTTGACTTTTTCGGGCTAAAACTTACATTTTTGGATGTGGTTTAAGGGGAAGATGATTAAGCAGCGAAACATAAATTTAAATTTAAATTTTATTTTGAGCTGGCTTTAAAATTTTATTTTATATTTTTTTAACGTTGTATCAAAACATATGTATTTTAGATTTTCTACTATAACGTGCACACAATTTATCTTTCCATGTTTAATACATACAAATAAATTAAAATGCGTAATTCTATTTATGTAATTCTAAGCGCAATTCTACAGATTTTAAATGTATAATTAATTCTATTAATGAGACTTACTGCGATTTTATTAATTATTCTTAATAGAAATACACATTTTAAAAGTATCGCAGAAGCTTTTTTATTTTTAATCAAGTTAAATTTATTATTAAGTAAAATAAATCAGTAATTGCAAATATTAAGTCAAATAAATTAAGTTAAATAAATTAGTGGTATATTTTCTTGAAAATGCTTATTTAAAACTACATACAATGCATAAAAGGTAAGTATTACTGTAAAACAACTTTCAGATGCCTCAAACAATTTCGTAGTAAAACATTACAGGCTACAGTCATAGTTACTTTCAGACAGTATATAGTTACTTACAGTTACAGTTATTTCTGACTGGTTACTACCAGACAGCAGTAACTAGAATTACGCCTTTATAAATTAAGGCCTATGTTAGATTATGTTATATGTGTATTTTAGGTTTGGTTAAGCGTATATATTGCTTTTAAATTAGAGAACTGCATTTTTTCTGAAATTTTTTTTCTGGAAACGAATGTCTCGATCATTCGAAAAAAAAGAAGACTGAATGTCTGGTTACTACCAGAAAAGAAGTCTGGTTACTACCAGACACAGCAGTAACTAGAATTACGCCTTTATAAATTAAGGCGTATGTTAGATTAAGTTAAATGCGCTATTTTAGGTTTGGTTAAGCATTTTTATTGCTTTTAAATTATAGCACTGCATTGTTTCTAAAATGTTTTTTCTGGAAACGAATGTCTCGATTATCCAAAAAAAAAAGAACTAAATGTTCCAGCAATGGGACATTTAAGTTTAAATGGTTAAATCTGTTTTCTCAGCATCAATGTTTACTATTTTTCTTTGTATACAAACTAAGCAGAAATCACGTAACAAATAATGTTTTATAACTAAAACTCTTAGCAAGAAAATCATCACATAAACGTCTAATACAAAATTAAGGTACTTCAGTTGAGTGGCTTAAAACATTAGGGTTATTTATTCCTTCCATAAGAGGTTCCATGAATCTTTATAGATAGCTGAACTGGCAGAGTATTCGGGCTATTCCAGATTTAATTCGCATTGTTGCGATCTCAGTAGTACTAGTCTTAGAACTCCTGTAGTCGATGCTATAAATGAGCTTTATTTATTCACGATAAAAACGATCATAAGATATGGGGTTAGCGATCGTAAGATTCAAAAAAAGAAAAACTAAAATATATCACTCTCTCTTTACTTTCTGAGACATTTTAATTGGCTTATAAAAATAAAATCTTTTGAATTTCAAAGTTAAATAAAGATATTTATAAATAAATTTAACTGGGTACGAATAGTTTCCTCAAAATAAGGTTTAAATTAAATGAATAAGATTCCCAATATATGAACTTTTCTAACAAAATAAATTTATCCAAATGATTTATTTTCCACTAATTTTAACTTTCCTGCATAAACGGGAAGAGTATATTGGAAAATTGTATATAGTTAGTTTTTTTTAACAGTTTTATGTAACTTAAAAATAAGAAGTAAAATCAATTGCATTTCCCAGCAAATGAAAGATGTAATATATTTATCGTAGAAGATATATAACTTCCATGTGATATTTTTAGCATAATTTTAGCATACTTATTATATTTTTCTTTACAATTTCATATTTGTATTTTTTCCTTTTTGAAATTTAACCTTATCTCACAATAGTTCTTTCATGCATAATTCAAACTGAAAATGTAAGTTAAAAAAATATAATGTAGTTAATATTAAAAAACAATAATTAAGCAATTTTCATTAAAACTATTTATTACAAAATGCACACTTTCAATCTTTATTTTACATTTTGTATTGCAGGCTAAAAACTTTGCTAATTTTTTTCAATAAATATTGTTCGACGCAATTATTAAAAATTGTGTCTAGCTACATCTTAATATTTCGCTTAACATAAATAATAAAAATAATTGCACTTCCAGCAAAGGAAAGACATAAAATATTTAACACGGAATATACATGAATTTTATGAGATATTTTTTCAGCATAACATTAATAAAATTGTTATAATTTCTTATAATTCCTTATACTTATTTTTTTCCTCTATGTAGCTTATCCTTATTTCTCAATAATTCATTCATGCATTCTACCTGAAAATATAAATTCAAAAATATATCCAATTTCTAAAGCAATTCTAATGTAGTCAATGATAAAAAACTGTGGTTAAACTTATTTAATCGAAATTATTTTTACATAGTATACACTTTGAAAATTAATTTTACACTTTGTATGGTGTAGGCTAAGAATGTGGCTAGACGATCCTTTTAATAATTTTATGTAACTTAAGAAATAAAAACAATTGCATTTCTTAGCAAAGGAAAGGTATAAAATATTTTTCGTAGAATATATACAACTTTGATCTGATACTTTTAGCATAATTTTATCAAAGTTATTGTAATTGTATA